CCATGTTGACCAGGATGGTCTCGATCTCTTGACCTCGTGATCCACCCGCCTCGGCCTCCCAAAGTGCTGGGATTACAGGCGTGAGCCACCGCGCCCGGCCTTAGGATTTTTTTTCTAAGCCTAAAATAAGCTGGGTCTTACTGTTTTTCATTGTGTATAAATTACGTTTATTCTTTTAAAAACTTTCTATTGGCCAGGCATGGTGGCTCATGCCTGTAATTCTAGCACTTTGGGAGGCCGAGGTGGGTGAATCACCTGAGGTCAGGAGTGTGAGACCAGCCTGGCTAACATGGTAAAACCCTGTCTCTACTAAAAGTGCAAAAAAAATTAGCTGGGTGTGGTGCCACATGCCTGCGATCCTAGCTACTCAGGAGACTGAAGCAGGAGAATTGCTTGAACCCGGGAGGCAGAGGTTGTAGTGAGCTGAGATTGCACTACTGCACTCCAGTCTGGTGACAGAGCTAAACTCCGTCTCAAAAAAACAAGCAAACAAACAAACAAAAAAACCAAAAACCAAAAAACTTTCTATTCAATTATAACGTGCATATGTGTATTATATATAGAGAAACATGAAGTGATTCATTAAAATATTCATTTGCATGACATTCATTTTAGAAGGCCTGACTGGTCTATTTACTCTTCTGTTAGTTTTGTTTTAAAATTTGTTGTTCCAATTACCTGGATAATATTCTTCAAATAAATGTAATTATAAGAATATATTAAAACCTATGACAATAACAAATAATATTTCATAAGTGAAGACAATAGGGTCTGATCTAAAGAACACATAATAAGAATTTGGAAAACTTGGATTCTAGTTCCCCTTTGGCTACTGTTTGCTTTCCTGAAAAATTGAAGAGGTGGATGATACCGACATTTCCAAAAATCAGTCTGTGATGCACTAGCTCTGTGAGGTGCTTTGTGTGAGATGAGGAGGGGGATTCCTGACCTTAAGTAATTCTCTGAATCCTCATTTTTAGAAGCCCCATGAATAGACTTCTAGGAGAAACATGCCTGAATAATTTCATTTGGCACCTTCTTTTCCATACTTACGTGATCCTTCAACTCTTCCTTTTGCACAGCACATAGGAACACCTTGTACATAGTTGTGTCCATGCTCCCTAAGATCCCTTTCAGTGATTAATCTACATGATTTTTAGTCCTGGATCTACTTTCTTAATAGAATTATCTTACTTCTCTCGCCTTCCCTAGTTTGGGAGTATATTGTAAATATTAAATTCATTTCCCTTTCTCTTAAGCATTCCACAATTCTGATAACACTTTATATTTTAAAAGTCACTATGAAGCTGAAAAGAATTGAGTCATATCGTAAAAGTGAAAAATGTATTTTTTAAAGCTGCTGTCATTACCTCCCCTCCTTAACCATGAGAAGAATTGACTTTACTTCCTTGTTCATAGTAAGGAATTTTTTCAGCTGTAAAAAAAACACACAAGATTGACACATTAAGAACTGCATATGTTTATTGAAACATATTATTACGTGTTTTGTGGAGCTGGTGAATGTTATGCAATCATTGTATGACTTAGACAAAGTACTTCCACCTAAATTTTGGTTTCTTCCACTGTAAAGTGTGATAGTACCATCCATTCATTCATATAACATTTACTTACTGAACCCCTACACTGTACCAGGCCCCATATAGTCTTTTTGTATTTAAAGATGAATAACATAAGCATAGCCTAGCTTTCCTCTGGGTACTTTCTGGACTGATAGAACATAGTGGAAATGTAGGTAAAAATTAATTGTATATCTGGTTAATACTAGGTACACAATAATATTATTACTATTATTTTTTATGATAACCATCAATATGTAGATATTTTTACCTAAAATATCTAAATATATAAATTCTGAATATCTAAAGATTTAATTATTATTACAACCAAAATATCTAAATAAAATATCTCCTATGATGTTATTACCCCATCCTAACTAGATTATCACAGATTTAGTTTAAATTTTGGAAAATAAAATTATCATACTTTGGGTACTTTTTCATCAAAACTAACATATAAAACCCTATTTGTGATTTATTTTGCATGTTAGAACATATTGAATAAAGAATATACGAGGATTATTATTTTAGTAGTTATATTTTTGGTTAATATATATTCAAAATTAGAATATTTTTGTGACCAAAACAATTAAACAGAGTATTTTATTTACCATTAATTCAACTGTATTTTTCCTTTCCTCCTCTCTTTATTAGCCTGGTCACACCAAGGTTGTATTTTTGGAGCCAAGGATACTCTTCGGTGAGTGCCCTCAGGGTTTAACAACTTGGAAGAAAGCCATTCTTCAAAATGTAGGACAAAACCATGCTTATTTCAAGGTAATATTGGGTGTTGGTAATTTCTTATTTGGATCAGATGACATGATCATAATACTATGAAGTTAAGACTTTATTCTTCACTTTTGCTATTTGTAGATATTTCATATGAAATGTATCTGAGTATGGTTCATCTAGTTTGTCCTCTTAATTTCTTCTAAGAACAATTTTTCTCACTACCTTACTTAGCCTCTCTGTTTCTTCTTGTTTCCCTTTTATTCTTTCTGTAATTTGGTTTTATTGAAAAAATAGATGTTTAATTTTTTAAATATACATTAAAATGTTACACTCTACATATAGTTATATGATTTTTCTTTTCATTTTACTCTGTAATCAGGACCATTATGGTAGCACCTGGGACCTAGATCAAGGCCATTCTGGAGAGAGTATGTTTATGGTTGTTGCTCCTGATTTAAATGGAAAGAGGAGTAAAGTGGTGATTTTTTTTTTTTTTTAACTGAAAAATGTAGTAAGACCAGCCTCCCCTCCCAGTAATAGTAATAGAGATTAGCATTTGAGATTTTCCATTCAGGCTTTACATTAATGTGCCATTTTCTGCCCAAATTAAATCTTTAGCAAAACTGAAAAATGAGGAGACTCTTTTCTACCCTGCTGCTTTAGAATTAATTCTTACCTACATAGTCTATTTGTTCCTTTAGTCCCAAAAATCTCTTGGCCATTTTTCCTTCAAATTATTCTAGCTTAAAGCATGGTAAAAAGGTTTAAATTGGCCTAGGAAAAATCATACAATAAATAATTGGTAAGTTACTTAGAACTTTTCTGAAGATCAAAATAACACCTTAGACATTAGGCTTTCTGTCACGGAGATAATGAACAAGAGATTACTTCATCATCCTACCTCCTCACTAACATTATTTTGAGTTTTTAGGATCAGGGAGACAAACCCTCAAAAATAGTATGTAGAATATTGTCATCTTCTCAAACAGAAATATCATCTTTGTAAGTTTTGCTGTCTTAAAAGCACTCCAGATAATAAACTTCAGCATCCTATCATCCTATTTGAATTGGCTGTTGTCACTACTGAAGGTTCTGTTTTCTTGGATAAGGTTGTAATTTTTTGTTTTAGTCCAAACTATTTGAACCTTTGGTATTTTCAAATACTATTGCAAAATCCTCTCATGTCCTGTACCTGGAGATCTTCTCTTTAGGTAGTGGCATGGAGGTTTTCCTATGAAAGCTTTGAAACTATAATCTTGAAGAATAATGTAGTATTTCTGCTAATTTTCAATTACAGGTTAATAATCAGAGTCTGTTGCCTACTATGAATATTATTCCATCAGAAGGAATAATTCCATTTGGGGGAATAGCTGTTCTCAATATCTCTTGTAGACCTACTGTGGCAGAAAAGTTTGATACAAGAGCAAAGGTATGTCCATACATATGAGCTTTTGCACCTTACATATGTCTGTGTGGGTTTGTTGGTTAAGTTATCTATAATGGTAGGTATAATGCTACAAAATGGAGTACACATGTTTATTATTAGAAAACTTGTTTTAATTCTTTCTTCTATTGGGAATGGGATTTAAAGTTATGACAGTAAAGAGCAATTTTCTAAATGTATATGATTTTTCTAGAAATTAAGTTAACTTTAAAGAAATGTAGTTTTTGGAGATTAAAAAAAGCACTTATCTTTATCATCTAATGAAAAATTGGTAGCAGAACTTGGAGAGGATTTTCAGAAAATATTTTTGAAGAAAGTTGGTAATAGGAATTTCTACTAAGTTGAAATGGATACTTTCCATCAATATGAGGCACTTTCTTATGAAATTTCGATGATACTTGGCATTTCTGAGTTTTGACCAACCCTAGATAGCCACAGAGAAAAGGGTTGCTTTTTTCATGATTAGTTAGGTAGATTAGGGAAAAAAAATAATCAATTTTGCAATGCTAATTCTAAATAGTTTTAAATAATATGAATTATGTAGAATTTCTATGTGATGTTAATATCTATATTTTAAAGCACACATAAAATGTTTTACTGCTTTTGGTTCTGGGAATTATCTAAATAAAAAATATTACCCTGATGCTAGGCACTTCTCTAAGTGATAAATAAAATATGTAAGACCAGTATGTGTAAAATTTAACTGTAAAACTCAAAGGCTAGAGTGTTCTCGGTCAATTGTATGATCAACTGTTTGCATTTACTCACATTAAAAATAATATATACACTATTATCAGATCAAAATGAATAACTTTAAGTATATCCTCCATGTTATTCCTGAATGGACCATAACAATACATGATTAAATAATAGGTAATTTAATATAATAAAAACTGATTTCCCCAACCCTCAAACAAATCACTTAAGAATATCTTATTTTCATAAATAAATGTGTTGAAAATGTTTATAAATTATATTTTGTGATATATGATCTGAGACTTGGGTAGAATACTTTTAAACACAATATTCTGGGAAAAATAAAAAAATATGGCCACCAAAAATATAGGTTTTACTAAACTTAATTCCCACTATATTTTAGAGAATCATGCTTTTTTTTTTCTAATCTTACCTTTATTAACATTATATTATAATGAGACTCATTTATTCTTTCAACATTCACATCATGGACCAATCTCTTGTAAATGTTAAGGATTCAATGATTAACAAGATAACCAGGGTCTTTGATGTCAAAGAGCTTACAGTCTGGTGGGGAATACAAACAACTCAATAAATAATAATTATTATACTATAATAATTAATAGTATATTAATTATTTAATTATTAATATTAATTAATTATAATTAATTATCATACTATAATAATTATATAGTATAATTATTATTATACTATAATAAGTATTGTGATGAAGAAATATAGCAGGCTAAGGAAGTACACAGGAGAGATACACAACCCAGTCTTAAATTATCAGAGATAGCTTTCTAGGTGAAGGTATATCTGAAAGACATCTGAAGTTAAGAATAAGCCAGATTAAAAGGATGGTAGGGAGGTGAGGGGGGAGAGGAGGAAAGATTGTTCAAGGCTAGCATGTGTTGAGGCTTGTGAGAGAGATAGCTGAAAGGCAGACTTAAGAAACTTAAAGATTAACATGACTAGATTATACTATTGAATGGATGATGGTGGGAAAAAAATATATATTTATATGACCCGTGTAAGTTTTAGGTCATACAGGGCCTTATCAACATTAAGAAATCCAGGCTTTATTTTAAGAGGTAACAGTTTTAACTATAGGGATTTCACAGTGAGATTTGCATTTTTTAGAGATCACTTTGGTGATAAAGCAGTAAGCTGGGCCCAGAAAGATTGAATGCAGAGTTATTAGTCTGGTGAAGAGATCCAGGCAGACAAACTGGTGAGAAATTGATAAATACATGGGGATTGGTGATTGAAAAGGGGTCTCATATAAATAAGATGAGGAAGTCAAGAGTGAGGCAGACGGTGGCGACATTTATAGAGAAAGAGATAGGAGTATGAGTAACACCTGTTAGAGGAAAATGTTTGCTTCAGTTGGAGGCATCTTTTTGATTTTCATGTAGAGATGTCTAGTAAAGAGGCAGCCACATATACATACTGGTCTGAAGGCTAATGATTCATCTTAGAGATGAAAGAGGATTTTTCTGCTGTCCCTCTGTGTGTCC